TTTAAAAGAATCATACGCGTCTGAGGTTATTATAATTTCTTATACTCCATTTTTTGAGTGGTTAGTTTGGCGACAATTATCCAGGATGTAAGGGGGCGACACAGCAGGTGTCGGGGCCAAGCCAACTCCAGATTGCCGGGGTGTACTCTCAGCTGTCCCTTGGAATTGTCATTGCTGCCTAGGATCCCACCTCCTGAGTGTGTCAATGGTGCAGGCAACATGTGGGGAGAGAACTGGAACCACCTCCAGGACATCACGCGGCCCTTCCCGACAAACAGGACGTTGACATCACGCCGGAGATGGTCAGAAGGGTGAGTTTGCTAGGGAAAACTTTCAATCGCCAAATGTCGGCCGTAGGGCGCTGACCTGGAATTCCACTTGTTCACGCCCAGATTGTACTAACACAGAATGACATTTCTCCGTGACGGGCCCTCAGGCAGATCCCCTAGTGCGGCCCACCAATAGGTTCCAAACCCAGAGTCTGTAGCCACACAGCTCGAGCTAAATATACACACGGATGTAAACTTCCGGGGACCCGTCCTCGACCACCGGCTGCGTATGGAAACTGCCAGAGCAAGGACGTTTGGGCTCTTGCTGGCGAGAAGTGAGCGCAACACTAAATCTTGCGTTAAAAAATGCGATTTTTTAAATATTTTTGAATCCAGTCCTCCCTTTCTACATACTTAAATTCCAGGTTTCAAAAGATATAGTGGCCATCTTGTGGCGGGAACTCAACACCTAGTTGTAGAGAAAGTGTTCTTTAGGGAGAGATGCCTCTTCCTGGAATATTGCTAACTAGTAAAAATGACAATGTCTGCGATAAAACAATTTTTTTGTAGAGAGATTTCCTTTAGAGGGAGTGACCTCTCTCTCTCATGGAAGTGGTTTTGCTGTATTTACACTCATGGACAGAACTTAAAAAAATTGTACCTTTCAGCATGTAATTATCGGGATTCAGAAAATAACTCTGAAAGATATTACAGTGACCTTTATTGACAATACATGAGATAACCAAGTGTGAACAGCTTCTGTTTTCTTAAAAAAAAAGACAACTGGAGACATCAAAGACTTTCTACTTCCTTAAGTTTTGTTCATGAGTAAATATAGACATCCACACAAGGCCTTGTGTTCTGCCATTGAGAAAACACCATCTTGCCCATTGAAGAAAAAAAAACCTTTGATAGGAGGACAATTAGCCCCACCTGCCAATATGGATTCCTGGAATATTGACAAAAGATTTGTTCACAATGTCTTATTGGAAATACAATGGGTCCAAGCGAAAACCACTCCTACAGATGGATAACAAGAAAAATAGAGTGCTTCCTGAATAAGGATGTTTGCATGTCTCCCGTGGAGTTTTACACACGTTCGTGGGACAGTTAGAAACATATTTTAAAATACGATCGCTATTTACACTCTTGTGTTTTCGCTAATAATGGGTTCCCCCTCTATGTACCAGGTGTAAGTCACAAACTGCAACTCCAAACTACATTGTTTACTGTATTGGCTCATTCATTGATGAATTCTACTCATCCCCACTACAGACGTCAGCAAGCTATACAGGCTCTTTGATGTCCTGCTATGTGGAGATAAGAAATACTTTATTGAGGAATGCATTTTTTTACACTATTAGTGGAATAATAGGGAATAAATTGTGAGAGGAAAATGGTTGTTTCTAAGGTATCGCTAATGTGTTGTACCCAGTCTGTCAGTGAGGGTACTGTGCAGAACCTGACAGCCATCCAGATGTTAAAGATTTCGGAGGACTTCTTCACGTCGCTGGGAATGAAAAGAATGACGCCCGAGTTCTGGCACTACTCAGTGCTGGAGAAGCCGGAGGTGGAGTCCATGAAGTGCTACACATTTGCCTGGAACATGTGTGCCGACGATGACTTCCGCTTGTTGCACTGCACCGTGCCCACGCAGGAGGACCTGGTGCTTGTGCACCACATGATGGGGAACATCCAGTACTACCAGCATTACGCCAACCAGCCGTTTGCCCTCCAGTGGGGCGCCAACCCGAGCTTCCACGAGGCCATCGGAGAAGTCATGGAGCTGTCGGTCGTCACGCCCAAGCACCTACACAAGATCGGCTTCCTAGACAAGGTGGAGAACGACACGGGTGAGTAGCGCTAGGGAGGCCTGCAGGATCGAGCAGCCAGGACTATAGGCTGATTGTGCGCAGAGACCGAGATCAACTTCCTGATGTTCATGGCGCTGGAGAAGATCGCCTTCCTTCCGTTCAGCTACCGTCATCGACCTGTGGCGCTGGGACGTCTTCCGCGAGAGCGTCAACAAACTCAACGACCGGTGGTGGCAGCTGCGTCTGCAATACCAGGGGCTGTGTCCACCCGTGCGCCGCTCCGAGACCGACTTCGACCCTGGAGCGAAGAACCACGTGCCAGGGCGACACCCCGCAAATCCGCCACTTCTTCAGTTACATCCTGCAGTTCCAGCTGCAAGAGGTGCTGTGTCGAGAGGCCGGCCACGTGGGCCCGCTGCACACCTGCGACATCTACGGCTCGCACGCGGCGGGCGACAAGCTGGCCGGGCTGCTGAGGGCTGGGCATCTCCATGCCGTGGCAGGATGCCCTGGCCAGGATGACCGGTGGTTCGGGCAAGCTGGACGCCAGGGCCGCTGCTTAACTACTTCGCCCCGCTCCGGCGGCACATACGGGACAGCCTGGGCAATTCCACCGTCGGCTGGACCTCCGGCGACCACAACATCTGCCCCTAGACAGCCGTCGGCCAGGACACCAGCAACCACTCCGGCCACCTGGCCTCTTTACGCGCATCTCCTCAGAATCAATAAATGGTTTGTTGTTAATTATCTGCATGGTTGTTTGTCTTGATCTCCACGTGGCAAGTTTGGCGGCCATCACCTTGGCTGTTGCAGTTTGTCCAAGTGGAACGTCGCCCTATCTGTGGGGAATGAAACTTGCCACAATTGAACTACCTCTCTGACAACACCTATTTACAGAGCAATTTTGTTCTTTGGAGAGAGGTGTCCTCTTACCGGAGAGTTAATATTTAGCACAAATGGTAGTTTTGACGAAAAAGGTGTCCTCTTATAGAGGTTCTGTTCTACTGGGAGTTAGGACAGAATAGCTGATCATCCAAACTGGCATCTTGGTTACGTCAGTTTTTAAAGGCAGTTGCTTATCATAGGTCACTCATGTCTCACATCCAATGTGTAAAACCGTTTGTTGACACTTACCATTAACGTAACAATCCCGTGTGTGACGGCAAGGAAGCTACAACTAACTCTCTCACATGAGTTAACCAGGACTCTTCGAGCCTACTGAAGTCACGGCTCCGACATGTCTAATGGTGGAGTTTATCTGATGTACTTGATTCTGTACAGAGGCAAATATTCCTGGAAGGATGGTGGCTGTTTGGTAGGCTGTGGTGGTGGACAGTTTCGTCTTCCTGGTGACAATGTCGTCTTTTGCTTTTTCTGCAGCATCGGGTTTGCCAAAGCCGTGACTGTTTGGATGGTAGAGGTGGTTTGAACAAAAGGTTAAAATAAACACAGGTCTTCTGTGGTACCTTCAGTTTGTCTTCAGTGGACCTGCAACACATCAGTGGTATTGTCACGTAGGAAATCAGGAATGACAAACTTAAGGATGACGCGGCAATTTATATATTTACCTGCAGGTTCCTGGAACCACCATGTACACAAGTCACCCTCCTTCTGTTTACAAGGTCAGTGAAAGTTTAGTTACTGAGGTGGGCAGGTTTATTTCTTGGGATTTTTAAGGGATTCGGTTACAAAACCACTTTATTAGGAACCGCTCAACAAAAACAACCTGGTTTATGATAATTGCAACAATGGATAATATGTGAAGGTTATTCGCATAATAAACAAAATGTAAACAGGTGATTCGATTTCGGTTCATGACTGTCGGGAATCGAGGATGTTACCCCATTCGTCCACCGACTTCTTATATTTTTCCAGGGATTCTGTGGATTAGGTTGATGTTAGCATTTATAAAATATAAGAGTGAAATGAGGGAAGGTTTATTTATTTCGTCTCAGTTTCCAGGTGTTAGATTCGAGTCAGCTCGTCCCTGTGTACTTACATATGCAAAGTTGGTTATTTTATGAACTCTGTCGATTTAATATATGTAAATATTCTGGGTTTTAAGATATATAGTACAAACACAGCCACGTCAACCAATGGTTTATTAAACTCCCGACGTTTCCAGTGACTGCTCTCATTCTCTAATCATTCCACTGAAGAGTGTGACAGTAAGTCACTGAAACGTCAGGAGTTAAATAAATCATTGGTTGATATAGCCATTGTTTGTTCTGAATCAACTTCCAACCAAAAAAAATGATGATCTTCGGATTTAAGTTTTAATTTGTTTGTTGTTTTGTTTGTTTCCTCAGTAATAATCGCAAATATATCAATATTGGGCCTGAATGATTGATAAATCTCTATATATATATATATATATATAAAAATATGAAGGCATCTCCTGACCACAAGCACATGTGCTTTTTAGATGGCAGAGCGCCATCTAGTGGAGTAAAAATAAACTAAACGTTTATTTAGCTTACTCCGAGATATTTGGCCAACCCAATTTCTTGATAAATCAAGAAAAGCCATCCACGAACGCGTTTCGCGCTGTTGGCGCTCGTCAGCGTGGAGAAGGCTGTAACCATTGCGACCAAAAATATTTTTTGGACCCAATGGCTTCCCGAGAAATCAAGAAATGGGTATTTAAGGCCAAATTTGCGTAAAGACGCTTAACACATGAAAATGAATGTCTGTCTGTGTGTGTACTCTATAGATTCAAAAACCATACATCCACTCGCCGTGAAATTTTGGGATATATTCAGGTATAAAACAACACTTAAAGTTGCACCGCATAAGTTTCTTTTCTGTGATAAATCAATATTTATTTCAAAGAGAAATATTTAATATTTCTAACTTTTTGATGAAGTATGAAAGGGTGAAAATATGAAGAGTAATGGCGAATGGAAAAAATAAAAGTGTCCAGGGGCGGGAATCGAACCCACAACCTTCCCGCTTACCGGGTAGATACCATGTCCACTAGGCTACCCTGGACGTATTCTTCCATTCGTAAATAATACTTAAAGTAACTTATAATACATTATAAAGGACTGCGGCGTGTGATTAAAAAACAACACTTAAAGTTGCACCGCATAAGTTTCTTTTCTGTGAAAAATCAATATTTATTTCAAAGAGAAATATTTAATATTTCTAACTTTTTGGATGAAGTATGAAAGGGTGAAATATGAAGAGTAATGGCGAACGGAAAATAAAAGTGTCCAGGGGGCGCAGTCCTTTATAATGTATTATAAGTTACTTTAAGTATTATTTACGAACGGAAGAAATACGTCCAGGGTAGCCTAGTGGACATGGCATCTGCCCGGTAAGCGGAAGGTTGTGGGTTCGATTCCCGCCCCTGGACACTTTTATTTTTTCCGTTCGTTATTACTCTTCATATTTTCACCCCTTCATACTTCATCCAAAAAAGTTAGAAATATTAAATATTTCTCTTTGAAATAAATATTGATTTTTCACAGAAAATAAACTTATGCGGTGCAACTTTAAGTGTTGTTTTATAATCATACCCCGCAGTCCTTTATAATGTATTATTAGGTATATCCCCGGAGAAGTTTTTGAAAAATAATTTCTTGAATATCTCGAATATCCTTAGAGTTATTTGCAGATTTGTAGCTTTAACTCGCAAGCAGAGCCACCTTTCGACGAAGATAGACTTAGGTCTGCCCACCCCCTGTCGAGAGAATGTAATCGTCCTGCCGCCGGCCGGATGGACAATCCAAGTACCCACCGACCAATCAGAGGGGTCAAAGGGTCCTGGCGTGCGGGGGCAGAGTTGGTGACACAGCTGTGCCAAGTAGACAAGAAAAAAGCCTCGCGGGGGCTTGCCCATGATGACCTCCGGGAACTTCGTCCATCCTTCATAAACGACCATGATTTTATTCAACTTATCGAGTATTTATCAAGGGTCTGGAAAAAATGTTCACTAGATAAAACAATGATTTTGTTATATAGAAAATTAGGAAAGACAAAATTCAGGATGACACGGCACAAAGGGACCGGGAAAAAATGTTCACTTTTATCGAGAGATTCAAATTTACAAGTTTCAAATTATTAAAAAATATATATTTTTTATAAAAGTCATAGAGAATTGTTTTAACAAATGTTCGTTAGAAAAACCTTTACTCGGGTAAAACCCGGGCGAAGCCGGGTACATCCGCTAGTAAATGTATAAATAAACAGAAACATGGCGAGTAGGTGGCGTAGATCTTGCAGCTGTTGGAGCTCCTAACTAAGTGTCAGGAAATCGGGGGATGATGTCTTCTTTGTTTTGTAGAGTATCTTGTACAGTTGTGTTAGATTGTAGCTGAATTTATATTTTCTTAACGGAAATTTGGTACATCTCTTCTAGATCGGGTTGGTTTGAGGGAAGTTTGAAGAATAGAAAAATATAAAAATTCATCAGTTCATAGAACAATATTGTCACTGAATAATTATTTTAAATATTCTGTTGTATATAATCATAAATATTTGCATAGTTATCACCCCTTACCATGCTTGTATATTATTACTTTTAAAATAAATTTAGAAATAGTTTGCATTATCTATCTATATATTAATAAAATGCAAATTCATAAGTGGTGTTCGCTAAAAACTTTCGTTACAATGCATCAATTTTCGACCAAATTTTCAACATTTATGTAAAACGAGATGGAGCAGGTTTTGCTTAACATCAAAATATTTTTCCTAACTTTAACATGCGTAACTTCGCTGTTATCGATTAAATACAAATATTTCAACAGAGTTAATTTTATTTATATATAAATACAAAAAAAATTAAGCAATTTATTCAACTCAATCTAAAAAAATATTCAAAACAAGCGATTTTAAGATAACACCATAATTAAAAGAAACTTATCTTACTTCACGTGTTGTCCAGCTTTATAATTTACTAGTAAGAGTCCCTGCATTTCGTTTATTAAAAGAAACTTATCTTACTTCACGGTTGTCCAGCTTTATAACACCATATGTAAAACAGTCGGCCAAGAAAACAACAACGATATTACATCTTTCTCACATATTCACACACAATCTTGATTAATAATTAAAACTAATCTTTAAACATTGTTTATTTTACTTCATAATATATAATATTCGTCAGGCGAACTTTCACTCGGATAAAACCCGGGCGAAGCCGGGTACACATCCGCTAGTATATATATAAAATTGAATGTATGTCTGTCTGTGTGTACTCTATAGATTCAAAAAACCATACATCCAATCGCCGTTAAATTTTGGGATATTATTAGGTATATCCTAGGCAAGGTTTTTGAAAAATAATTTCTTGAATATCTTGAATATCCTTAGAGTTATTTGCAGATTTGTAGATTTAACTCGCAAGCAGCGCCCCCATTGCGACTATGATAACAAGTTTTTTATCTATAAGTTTTATTATCACTAAGTTTATTATCTTAAAAATTATTTATCAAAAGTACGATTTTTCTACATATTAATTGCGCACAAGTCAAAGTTAGTTATCGAGTGTTTTCCCAAGGGACCGGGAAAAATGTTCACTGGATAATACGATGATTTTGTAATGTAGAAAATTAGGAAAGACAAAATTCAGGATGACACGGCAATTTATTTGAGACAAGATGAGATAAGGACCGGAAAAAATGTTCACTTTATCGAGAGATTCAAATTTACGAGTTTCAAATTATCAAAATATATCTTTTTTTTTATAAGTTTATAGAGAATTGTTTTAACAAATATCGTTAGACAAACCTTTACTCAGGTAAAACCCGGGCGAAGCCGGGTACGTCCGCTAGTAATCAATTTTTTTTTTTTACTTAAACCTTTTGTTATACTCGTTATCACTACCCATGACAACTGGTGGAGAAGCTGGATTATCCCCTCGCCACCCAAGCCGTTAGAAGAAGCTGAAGACTAGAAGGGTTATAACCTCAAGAGAACATTGCTATGGTTAAGCAAGAGACACAGAAAAAAATGGGTGAGTACCACTTTCACACCTTTAAGAAACCCTTCTATTTTTATGGGAGAACACAACCAGAATCCAGAAAAATGGTTGAAAGAATACCATCGCGTCGCTCGTTACAACTGCTGGGATGATTCAATGTGCCTCGCAAATGATTTTTTTTCCTCCAAGGAACAGCGCACAGATGGTACGAATATGTCGAAGAGAAAATTAATTCATGGGATATTTTGTGAAAAAATTTTCTCAGAATTTCGGACATCATGTCGCTCAAAAAGATCAGCTGGCTGAGAAACCTCAAAACTCGAGCTCAAGGGAAGGAGGAGACCAGTGATTCGTACATTCAAGATGTTTTCCATTTGTGCCGAGAAGTGAATCCGGCTATGATGGAAAATGAAATAGTTGCACACTTGACGAAGGAATATCGGAGGAGATATATCAGTCAATCATCATTTTAGACATTGCAACTATCGATGAGTTCATCAATGGTCTCGAAAAATCGAGGCTTCACATAAACAACGTGTAAATAAACGTGTAGTATTCGACAGACTACCAAATGTTGCCGCCATCGATTCAGCAGACTCTGAATCAATGGAAGACTTACTCGACGCATCGTGCGTGAAGTCCATCGCGCACTAAATCGGAGTCAACTACCCCTGAACCATCTTTTCTGAAAGAAATTATCCGAGAAGAGATTGAAAAAGTCCTCAAAAAGATAATAAAGTCACGTGGATATCTGACCAACAGGATGCTTGTGATTCCTTGAAAAAAGCATTGATGTCTAAACTTGTTCTTGCTATTTCGAAGAAGAACTGCTAACCGAGCTTCATTTGACGCCAGCGAATATGGAATTGGAGCTGTCCTCGTACAGATCAACGATGGGAAAGAGCGGCCAGTTGGTATGCTTCAAGACCTTTATCTAAGGCGGAGAAGAATTACTCATCAACGGAAAAGAATGCTTTGCCGCATTATGGGCCATCAATAAATTTCGATCGTACCTTTTTGGTCGTGAGTTTGTCATTGTCACTGACCACCACGCTCTTTGATGGTTATCTAACCTGAAGAATCCGTAAGGAAGGCTAGCAAGATGGACTTCACAACTCCAAGAATACAATGCGATGGTTTGTATTTGTATAAAAGAAACATTCGCGCTTTTGAATCCTTTTATTTTATATGTATAGATGGCGCGTTATTGCTTTGTGTTAATGTGATGGTTGTTTATGAAAGTGGACGCAAACACCAAGATGCCGACTGTTTTTCTCGAAATCCTCTCCAACTTGAATCGGAAGAAACATACAATGATAAGGATGATGATATACCCTCAATATCTGCTCTGATGTGCTTCGAGCTGAACAAAAAAAGGCCCTCAAATTAATAAATTGATAGAGGAAACAGAAAGATTTGGTGCTGAATCGAAAGGATATGAAATGTTAAAAGGACCTTATGCAAAAGGTTTTTCGACCCCCTGGGAAACCAGCACCTTTTAGTTATACCCAAGCACTTACGATTAGAACTACTGAAAAGTTTACATGACTCTCTCACAGCAGGTCATCTTGGATTTTCGAAGACATTGATAGAGTTAAAAACAAATATTTCTGGCCAGGACTTCTCCGGGACATACGGAAGTATGACGCTCAATGTAAAGAGTGCCAAAGAAAAAAACAATCAACTCAAAAGCCACCCGCACTACTTACGGCCATACCTCCTGCAACCTCCCCTTTTCACAGAGTTGAAATGGACCTCTTTGGAATATTTCCCAAGTCTGATACTGGTAATAAGTGGATCATAGTCTGTACAGACTATTTACCCCATTTGCTATTACCAAGGCCTTATCCACAGGAGAAGCAAAAGAAGTTGTCAAGTTCTTTATGGAAGATGTTGTCCTCAAACACGGAGCCCCCAGAGAAATCATTATGGACCGTGGGCGGGTATTTCAATCAAAGATGTTAAAGGAACTTACAAGCTAGTGCTCTTCCATACACAGGTTTACAACAGCCTATCATCCCCAGACGAATGGATTAACAGAAAGACTTAATAAAACATTGGC